TGAGGTATTTACGTATATTTAAAAAAATTTCAACAGACACTACGTGCATCAACGAACCTTAAAAAATTCAACAATTTATATTATCAATCGTTTATTAAATCTATACATATATGTGATTTGTGTATATGTAGGAGTTTATATCTGCATATGAGCAGTATACATGTGTATGTAATTTATGAACATGTGTGAGTATACATGTACATGTGATTAGTGTATATGTGTGAGTATACATGTGTGGGTGTTATGCGCGCATGCTTGATATTCATAGAACACTACTGCGCATGCCTGATATTCATAGAACACTACTGCGCATTCCTCACATTGATAGAACACTACTGCGCATGCCTGACATTCATAGAACAATAGTGCGCATGCCTGACATTGATAGAACACTACTGCGCATGCCTGATATTCATAGAACACTACTGCGCATGCCTGATATTTAAAGAACACTACTGCGCATGCGTAATATTGACAGAACACTACTGCGCATGCGTAATATTGACAGAACACTACTGCGCATGCCTAATATTGACAGAACACTACTGCGCATGTGTAATATTGACAGAACACTACTGCGCATGCGTGGCACTAATAGAACACTACTGCGCATGTGTAATATTGTCAGAACACTACTGCGCATGTGTAATATTGACAGAACACTACTGCGCATGCGTAACAGTGATAGAACACTACTGCGCATGTGTAATATTGACAGAACACTACTGCGCATGCGTAACAGTGATAGAACACTACTGCGCATGCGTAACATTGACAGAACACTACTGCGCATGCGTAACATTGACAGAACACTACTGCGCATGCGTAACATTGACAGAACACTACTGCGCATGCGTGACATTGTGAATATGTATACATTTGTGTTAATATTATTTTTAAAAGATATACATATATATACGGCTAGGGTCGGTCGGTCGGTCGGTCGGTCGGTCGTTCTTCAACTTAATATAATAAGAGATTATACTTGTGACAATATATTTTCTCAAATTCAAAAATTTTTAAAATTAGATAACTTATAAAACCAATGTTATATAAAACATGAAGAAATCGATCACTCCGAGTCTTCGACTCGGAGCAATCGATGACTTCATGTTTTATAATAATTAAAAATTACCGAGTGATAAAATAATTATTTTATTATTATAAGAATATTGTTACTGTAAATTCTTCAAAATTATTTTCATCATTTTAATTCAATTATTATTTTCTACAATTTTTATTTAAAATTCTTCTTTAAATCAATTATTTTTAATCATTTTTGAAAAAGTTCTTTCAAAATTTTCAAATCCATTTGTTTACAATTCAATTTTACGAAATCTCGATTATTCGGAAATATTCTCCAATTATATTTTATATTAGAAAATAAAAAAATTAAAATAATTTCAAAATAAAATTGAATTAAACTTTTAAAAAAAAATAATTCTCCAGAATTAATAAGTTAACAGTACCTATGAAAAATTCAGATTTTCAAATATTTTAATTTGAAACCTTTTTAAAAATTCAATTATTTCTAAAAGTTCTCGCTATATAATTCTTTGAATATTCAATTATTATTTAAAATTGAAACTAAAATTCATTTTAAAATTAATTTTTATTAGAAAATTGTACGAGAATTACATTATCTAAATACAAAAATAAATAATTTTTTTGAATAAATGAATGTTTCTTAAAATTGAATTCTCATAAAGAATTTTATTAACTAATTTTTAAATAATTGAATTCTTTTGACGAATTTTAATAAAATTTTTTAGAATAATTACATTTTTCAAGGAATTCAATTAAAATTGTATTAAAAATAATTTAAATTCTGCAATGAGTTTTATTATTTATAAAAATAATGGAATTTCTAAAAAAATGTATTATTTACGAAAATAATTGAATCTCTGTAAAAATTTTATTATTTAAAAAAATAATAATAATAATTGAATTGATACGAAGAATTTTACTAAAATTTTTAAGAATAATTGAATTCTTGTGATGAATATTGTTATTTATAAAAATAATTTAATTTTGTAAAGAATTTTTTTAAAATGTCTCAAAATAATTGAATTTTTGGAAATAATTTTGTTATTTATCGACATAATTGAATTATTTTGAAGAATTATTTATTTAAGGGCATTTGAACCTTGATGACGTTTCAGTTTGTGCAAAGCATGTGTGACGTCATCAAGGTTCAAATGCCCTTAAACAATTGAATTCTTGGGAAGAATTTTTAAAAAATTTTATTTAAAATAAATGATTTTTTTCGAACAATTTTATTAAAGTAATAAAAAATAATTGAATACCTATATACCTGTGAAAAATTCTAATATTTTTGTAAATAATTTTAATTCTTCCAAAGAATTAAAAAAAAACATTCTTTTAAATAATTGATTTTTTCGAGGAATTGAAATAAGATTTTTAAGAATAATTACATTTTTTGAGCAATTCCTGTAAAATTAATTGACATCCTGCAATGAATTTCACGATTTATGAAAATAATTGAATAGAATTCCCCGAGAAGAATTTTATTATTTAAGAAAATAATTAAAAGTTTTTTGAAAATCATTGAATTGAGGAAAATTTTTGAATATAATTGAAATTTTGACAAGTATTTTATTAAAATTTTTAAGAATAATTGAATTTCAGAGAAGAAATTTATAAATAATTGATAAATAATTGAATTCCTGGGAAATTTTTATTATTTATGAAAATAATTAAATGTTTGCGTAAAATATTATTAAAATTTATTTTAAACAATTGAATTCCTTTGGAAAATTTTATGAACATAATAGATATTGAAAATCATTGAATTGAAAAAAATTCAATTTTACGAAATCTCGATTATTTGGAAATATTCTTCAATTTTATTTTATATTAGAAATAAAAAAAACTTCAAATAATTTCAAAATAAAATTGAATTAAACTTCTTCAAAAAAAAAAATAATAATAATAATTCTACAGAATTAATAAGTTAATGTAACGTTCGTAATTAAATTCTCAGAATTTATTTCTTTTTAAAGAAAATTTATCAAGAAGAAAAGAAGAAAAGAGATTTTTTTTTTTTAAGAAGAAGAGATTATAAAACTAAAATAAAAAAAAATGAGAAATATTCCCTATATGAACATATTTTTAAAGGGATGAGTACTTTGAAAATCATATTTTTCTGCTTTCATTTCGCTTGATTCAGCACACGTTCAACATTGCAGAACCAATTGATTTAGTCGAAGAGTATATATATATGTATAAACGAAGATGGAGAGGACAGAGAAAGAGTGCGCCTTTCAAAGGGAAATGGACCAAAGGGGAGATGTGATTTTTTTTCCGTTTTGTTTTTATTTTAAGAGCACTCTTGAAAAAGGAAAATAAAAATCGTTAATGAGAGTAAATAATCAGAATTTTAAAGGGGTGGGGGGATGAATATTACCTTTTAACGATAATTATTTCTGTTTTTTTTTATTATTTTCCATTTTACACGTAAACTAAAGAACTGTTTTTTTTTTAAATATTTTTTATCAACAGCAGTTGAAAGTTGCATTTTAATACTAAACCTCAAAGAAAATAATAATAAACACAAATTTTAAAAATTGAAAAACTATAATTAATTATTGAAGCAAATTTTTTACTGTAAATATTTTTTATTGCAGGTTATCATGATTGCAAGGACCACTTCTGGAATGCTGTTAAACTACTAGTTGAAGGTAAGAGTGATGAAAAAAGAGACAAATAAAAACTAATTATAAATTATAAATTAAAAATACTTTTTTAATAATCATCTCTCTAAATTTTAATTAGTAAAAATTAAAAATGTTTACTAATTTCAATTAGTGACTGACGTTTTGCTTTTTAATTAGTAAATTTTTTTTTATAAAGTAGTAGAAATTCCTGTTCTATTTATAAATTAGTAGAAATTACTATTTATTAGTAAAATTTACTAATCCATAAGCAAAAAATTCAGTTACTAATCAAAATTAATAAGCATTTTTAATTTTTTACTAATTCAATTTTAGAGAGGGATCGAGGAGAGATTGTTAATTAAAACTTCTATTAATAATAAATACAGGTTTTAATTATTACTATCAGCTTTCAGTTAACAGGACAATTAATTAACAATTAACAATTACTATTATTATTTAATTAATTAATTCTTAATTAATTATTAATACAAAAAATTAACATTGTGATTGAAATTAATATTTAAAATTTTTAATTAAAATCTAGTACTGATAAAAGCTTCTTACTGAGCAAAGATTTTATTAATTGAAGCTATTTATATAGTGAAACAGAGCAAGTATAAAATTGTTGGTAGTAAAAGTTAACACTTATTGAAACTATTATTGCTTACATCTAATACTAATTGAAGCTATTACTACTTGATGTTTTCATCTTAATCCACTTTTAATCTTTAATTTTTTCTACTTTTTGTAATTTATATTTTTTTATAATATAAATATAGTAAAATAAATATAAATAATATATTTAAAGAAAGTTTATTTAAAGTTTATTTATAATCCATTCAGTAATTGATACTTCCATTGATTAAATATACTAATTTAATTTAATTTAATTAATTAAATTTAATTAATTTAATTTAATTTAATTAATTTAATTTAATTAATTTAATTTAAATAATTTAATTTACCCACTAATTTAATTTAATTTACCTACTTATTTAATTTAACTCAACTTCGACTTATTAGAAGTAATATTTGTTGAAATTATTCATTGAAAATTGAAGTAATTACAGCTACTGTCAATAATTGTAGCTGCCACTGATTAAAAGTGCTTTTAAACGAAAATTAATTATTTCATTAACCTAATTGATTATGATTTTTAGCTGCACTAATATTTTAAGCTTCCACTATGATTAAAAAGACTATTAGTTCAAACTTTTACTAATTAAAAACACTATTAACATTGTCTGTTGTTTCTATTTTTATTTTATTGTACAAATTTATAAGTAAAATCAACTCATGTCCTAATATAATAAAATAAATTAATAAACATTATAACAACATCGTTTATTCAACAAATATTTCGATGAACATATTATATTTTAATTAAATATCTAATCATTCTATTTCTAATGAATCTAATATGAATCTAATCTATAATCTGCATGAAAACTAATTTTAGTTTTAAATTAAACAGAAACTTTTAATGAAAGTAAAAACAAGACAAACATAAATTTATTTGCTTCTCAGATAGTTTTCCACAATTTTTCGAAGGATATCAAAATTGAGACAAAAAAAAGTATCAAAAGTGTTGCGAAGCAACGTTTTGATACTTTTTTTTCTCTCAATTTTGATATCCTTCGAAAAATTCTGTCTTCGGTACGTGTTTTAACTAAAATTTAACTAAAATCATAAATTTTCATTGAAATATTTGTCAAAACAAAAGATTTTAATTTAGTTTAATTTTTTTTGCTGATTCTGCTTCATCCTAATAAAATGTAGTTGTTATACTTCCGTTGGCATTCCAAGCATAAATAGTTACTGACGAATGTACTTTTTTTGATCCTTCATAAGTAGTTTGAACTGTATTTACAGAACCTTCCGCAGAATTTCCAAATGAGAAAATTGTAATTTTATTTGTGCGTGGCTCGCCTTTGACATTCTAGAATTTTCATCAGAAATTTAAATATAAAAAGTAAATTAAAATTAAAGTAAAAGTATAAAGTAAAAGTAAATTAAAATGAAAAATAAATTTTATTGTTAAATAATTTAATCTACTCTCTAAAATTGAATTAGTAAAAATGTTCACTAATTTCAATTAGTGACTAAATTTTTGCTCCTGAATTAGTAAAATTTACTAATAAATAGTAATGTCTATTAATTTATTAATAAAATTTACTAATTTAAAAGCAAAAAGTCAGTCATTAATTCAAATTAGTAAACATTTTTACAAATTCAATTTTGGAGAGTAAATTTCTTTCATTATAAAATCTGAATTAGTGAAATTCCAGTGAATTAAATTTTTTTATTTTCAACTGTATTTCTAATTGTATGGAAAAAATATTTTTCTCGTGTAACTAATCACTGTTTTTCGAAGGATATCAAAAAAATTTAAAAAATGGTTGCGAAGCAACGTTTTGATACGTTTTTTGTCTCAATTTGCGATATCCTTCGAAAAGCTGTGAAATAAATAAAAATAATAATAAAAATAATAATAATAATAATAATAATGAAAAATAATAAAAAATTTGTACTGTTGTTCTGTTAAAATTACCGTTGTTAAAAAAGTTGTCTTCGAATCAACATCGGCGGGAGGATTTCCATTTTCAATTTGTTCTGCAATTTCCAAAATTTTTCCTTTTTCTAATATCACATTTTTTAATTCATGAGTCAATTTTTTTGTCTTCTCTACTTGTACTTTCGCCTTTTCTACTTCGATAGTCGCCTCCTCTATTTGTAATTTCGCTTGCTCTGTCATTTCTTTTGCCATTTTATCCATTTGTTCCATTTGACTGTCAAATCCTTCCATTTCCATTGATTTATTAAAATCACGTGAAAAATCATTATTCCAAGACCACTGATTCCATGGAACTATAAATGGATTAAAAAAATAAAGTGATTTGAAAATTTTTCCCAACAATTACAATAAATATTTTCTCTTCTCAAGATGTATTTAAATCAAATTTACCTGATTTCACACTGACGAATAAAACGGCAAAAATTAAAAATATTCCTAAATTCTTCATGATGATGAAATCTTTAAATCTTGATAGTTGTTTTTTTAAAAATTCGATTAAATTTTTCCAATTGTCAGTGAAGATTTTTGACGAATATTTTCTTTTACGGGGATTTGGAGAAATAATTTTGTCCTAACTCGATAGTAATCAATGACAAACTAACATTCAATTCGAGACATCCAAGTATTTAAAGGAAGTGAAATTGAATATTTAGACTTGGCAATAGTGCCTTTTAGGCAAATAGAAATTTGTCAACATCGCAATGTCAAGATTTTGATCATTTAAAAACTATTTTGTGTTCGAAGAGTAAACACGAAGTTTTGGAAATATTTTTCTATAATTAATAATAAGTTAAAAGATTATGAAGAAGTAGCTAACTTTAACGATAGCTTAATGAGAGATAATGAGCTGTTAGTGCTTTTATGAATTTGGGTTATAAGACCCTCGATCATTTGGCCAAAGTATTGATTCGTTATACATATAACTACGTAATTTATTTTTTTAATTTTTTCTTACTATAGTATTAATATTATTCTGATTATTTTTATTACTACTTTATGAATTTATGCATTAACTGCTATCATGAGTCGTTAATTCTTGAAAGAAGACTGTGAATGATGTAGAGAAAAAAAGAGAGAGAGAGAGAGAGAGAGAGAGAGAGAGAGAGAGAGAGAGAGAGTAAGAAAAAAAAAGAGAGAGAGAGTGAGAGAGAAAGAGAGAGAGCAGGGGTGGCAGTGCAGAGAGAGGAGAGGATGTTAAAAAAGGGTTTGCTACCTCCCTTTCTTGTTTCAGTTTACTAAGAAACTTGGGTTGTTCGTTCTTGAATGTTTTCTATATATACTGACACACAGAAAAGTTTATCTTGCTGTCGAAAGTTTTATTACAAATTACACAACATGATTGCAAACATTCCCCCCATACCTCTTCCCCTTTCCTTCCTCTCAAAACTCTCTGTCAGATTTATTAATCGTCAACTAATTTAAAATTATAATTCGTCCTGCAGATTTATATATACACACAACAAGAAGTATAAAGAAAAACAAAAACTACTTTACATAATTATATTTAGAAAATTTAGAATATAATCTAAATTTGATCTCTAAATTTAATCTCTCTAAATTTGAATTAGCAAACATTTTTACTAATTTGAATAAGTGACTGACTTAGTGACTTATAGACACTTAATAAGTGACTTCTTGAATTAGTAAATTTACTAATAAAATAGTAGGAATTACTATTTTACTAATAAAGTAGTTGAATATCCTATTTTACTAATAAATTTGTAAAAATTAGTAAAAATACTAAAAATGTTTACTAAGAATTAGTGACTGACTTTTTGCTTTTGAATTAGTAAATTTTACCAATAAATAGTAATTTCTGCTATTTAGTCTACATAGAGAGAATAAATATTTAATTTTGTAAAGGTATTTTACAAATTAAGGAAAAAATGCAACAAAGCGAAATTTTGATATAAAAAATAATAAACAAGTTGTATTTAAGCTACAAATGAAATTAACTTTTAAAATAGAATAATTTTTTAATAGTTTAGGACCAGTAAAAAATTTTTGTACTATAACAATTGTTAGTAAACAGAAGATAAAGTTGGCTCAAAAAATAATTTTTCATCTTCTGCTGATTATCGGCTGTGCGGTTACTTTTTATAAATTGTGAATTAAATTAATTTTGATGACACAGATATTAATTGGAATTGTTCTAGTAATAAGTTAGTACCAGTAAAAAATTCCTTCCAAAATTCAACCATTTTTTAGTGAAATTTTTAACGAAAATTATTCAAAACTTTAATCATTTTCTTTCAAAATTTAAATATTATTACAGTCTTACAACAATTAAAATTTTCAAAGACTTTTCAAATTAAAAATCTCTTGAAATTTAATTATTAATTATAAATTATTAATTGTCTAAAATTTTAACTGAAATTCGATTTTTAATAAATTTTTATTAGAAAATTATACAAGAATTCTATTATTTAAAATATTTCAATACAAAAATAAATATTTTATTTAATAATTTAATTCTTTATAAAGAGCTTTTACAATTTTTTTTTAAATAATAGAATTGTTACTAGGAATTTAATTAAAATTTTTTTAAAAATAAAGAAATTCTTTTGAGAAATTTAATTAAAAATGTATTGAAATTAATTATTAAATTCTAATAAACAAATAATTTAATTTTTCAAAAAAAACTTGATTTCTTTCGTTAAATTTTAATAAAGTTTTTAAGATTGAATTCTTTTTTCGAAGAATTTATTTTAAAGTAGTATTAAAAATAATTGAAATTCTGCGATGAGTTTTATTATTTATGAAAATAATTGAATTCTTGCAACGAATTTTATTAAATTTTTTAAGAATATTATTATTTATAAAAATAATTGAATTCTTACAATGAATTTTATTAAAATTTTTAAAAATAATTGAATTTCTGAGAAAAATATTATTATTTATAAAAATAATTGAATTCCCGAGAAGAACAGTATTAAATTTTTTTTAAATAATTGAATTCCTGTGAAGGATTTTTTAAAAATCTTTTTAAAATAATTGAATTCTTTCGAATATTCTATAAAATATTCTTAAGAGAAATTGCTTTTTTCGGGGAATTTATTTTAAAATTGTATTAAAAATAATTTAAATCCTGCGACTAATTTTATTATTTATGAAAATAATTGAATTCTTGCAACGAATTTTATTAAAATTTTTAAAAATAATTGAATTTCTGAGAAGAATTATTTATAGAAATAATTGAATTCTTACGAAGAACTTAATTAGATTTTTTTTTAAATAATTGATTTTTTCGAGAAATTCTATGAAAATTGTGTTATATGGTTTGAATTTAGGCGTAATTTTTAAAAATTCTTTACTTTTTTCTACGAAAGTGTTTATTTATGTTCACTTAAAAACTCATTGTTCCTATCACATATCGTTAAAAATTGATTTGTGCTTAAATATTTTGTAATATTTAATTGTCATTTTTAATAATCTTGCTGAGAATATATTTTGTTTATTTTTTTATACACTTTTTTTTTATTATTATTGGGCAAAACTTGACTTTTTTAAACTTATTATTTAACCCCTAAACTAAAAACTTTAAAATTGTTTAAATAAAATTTTAAAAAAATTTAATTTTAATGTCAACAAAATAATTAGTTTCAAGTTTGAATGAAAAGGTCTACAAAGGAAGTTTTTAACAGAAAGAATTTTTTTTTTTAATAAAAAGTTACCACTTGGTAGAGAATCAACCATATAGAAAATATTAACAAAATGTAAATTTAAAAAATAAAAAGCGTTAAGAAAAAATAATAATATAACTAGTATATTATAATTTTTAAAATACACACTTCGTACACCATTTCATTAATTAAATTTTAATTCATGTCGCGGAAGTTTAAAAAATTTTCTCATTTCAATGGCCATTCTTTTTCATGAGTAAAGAATACAACTTCTATTTTAATTAAGTTAATTAGCAAATTAGTTAAGTATTCATACGTAGTTCAGACACATTTATATTGGATTTTTTTTTCAAATAAAAAGTCTTATATAAAAAATAGAAGCAAGAGAGAGGGGAAACGTCAACTAGAATTTTTTTTTTTTAATTTTTTTTTGCTCTGAAAGGTATAATTGGGTTGAAAAGAAAGTTTCTGCTGTAAAATGCAATTGATTTGAAAGCATAAAAAATGCAAACTTCCCTCGGAGCCAGACAAGTGCTGCTGAATTTGAAAAGCTATTTCAAATTCAATGCACCCGGACTTATAATGACCGACTTGTGACTGTGTTTGCTTACATTTTATTTCATTTCTTTTCTTTTTTTTATTTTTTCCCCCTTCGTTGAAATTAAAATAAACCCTTTCAAATATTTGTTTTTTTTCATTAAATCAAGTTGTTCTTATTAGAATTGAGAAAAAAAATTCTTCGCATTCTTCGAGAGTCACCAGAAAATTTTTTGTTATCAGTTTATAAAGTTTTATTATTTTTTATTATAATTTATAATTTTAAAAAATATTAAAAAAGTAAATTTACACAGTTTTTCTGCGGATAACAAATTGAGATGAAAAAAAGTATCAAAACGTTGCTTCTCAACAATTTTGATACTTTTTTCGTCTCAATTTGATATCCGCAGAAAAACTGTGTATAAATCAGGGACTTTCACGAAAAATTCGTGTCGTGCCCGTGCCGTGCCTTGGCACGACACGAAGTACGATTTGTAATTCGTGCCGTGCCAAGGCACGACACAAAGTTCGCTTGGTAATTCGTGCCGTGCCTAGGCACGACACGAAGTTTGCTTGGTAATTCGTGCCCGTGCCAAGGCACGACACGAATTACACTTACTAAATCGTGTCGTGCCTTAAATATTGCTTTTGAGATTCTACACAATATTCCATGCGTGCCTTTAAAACGTGCCTTGGCACAACACATTTCAAAAATTTTATTTGTGTCGTGCCTTGGCACGGCACGATTTACCAAACGTACTTTGTGTCGTGCCTAGGCACGGCACGAATTACCAAGCGTTATTCGTGTCGTGCCAAGGCACGGCACGAATTACCAAACGTTTTTCGTGTCGTGCTAAGGCACGGCACGGGCACGACACGAATTTTCGTTTTTTTTCGTGTCCGTGTCGGTCCCTGGTATAAATAATAAAAAAAAATTCAAAAAATAAATATTAAAATTTAAAAACCAAAAAATACTTTGTTCGTAACACTTTTGATACTTTTTTTTGTCTCAATTTGATATCCGTAGAAAAACTGTGTAAATAATAATAACAAAAAAATAAAAAAAAATATTATCAAAAACCTCTATTAAAAAAAATAATAATAATTTACAAATATTTTATTTTAATAAATAGAAATAAACAAATATTTTTTTTCATTATTTTTTTGTGTTTTTTTCATGCTAAAAAAAATACTTTGATCGTAACACTTTTGATACTTTTTTCGTCTGAATTTGATATCCGCAGAAAAACTGTGTATAAATAATAAAAAAAAATTCAAAAAGTAAATATTAAAATTTAAAAACCAAAAAATACTTTGTTCGTAACACTTTTGATACTTTTTTTTGTCTCAATTTGATATCCGTAGAAAAACTGTGTAAATAATAATAAAAAAAAAATAAAAAAAAATATTATCAAAAACCTCTATTAAAAAAAATAATAATAATTT